CCCTTCCTGAGGATTTTGTTTCAAGCCTCTGAGCTTATTTTGTAACAACGTCCATACTCAGAATTGGTTTTCCTACTCTCAAAGCATGAAATCAGGATGGGGAACTAGAACTCAATAGATATGTTGTGCAACATACTAGGTCACTGATTATTGGCCTATTGTTTACTGAATTAAAGCAATTACCTGTGCTGACACAAAGCCAAAAATCAAAGCCAAGGAACTTTATTTCAATCATTGTCCAGCCTTATATAACAAAAAACATGAAAATAATATAAACTAAAAGATAATCAAATCAAATAATCAAATTCAGTCATACATTGTGGAAAAAAGAAGGCAAGTTATCTGAGTTCAGACTGTGTCGACATTTGTGTGGCAAAAGTTACCAGCAGTGAATTAATTCGCAGAATGTTATTTTGTATACCAATTCCATGTGGTAACATCACAGAGAGACCAATTTGGATTTTTTCCTAAAAATGTTTTTCTTTGTTTCAGTAATTGAAGCTTTTTTTAAAAAAACATAGGTTTTCCTCTTTGGCATTACATAACATGTTGGTCACAAATATACAGATTTGGGTGGGTGGAAGCAAGGAAAAATATTCTGTTTTCCTAATCCAACCTATGAAGAATACAGCTCTTCTGAAGCAATGTTGTGTCACTTTAACCAACAAACCAGCCATAGATGTTACAGTCTGGCTTAATGTTGGAGTCAGGTTACTGACAAACAGAACCCTCATTGTAAAACCACTAAACTCCCTCCCCCTTTCACATATGGTGTGATGCAGGGAACATTTTGTGTATCAAACTGCATCATTTAAGTACAGGGTTCAGATTTATTTTTATTTTATCCACTGTACACTAACAGAGTTATATGAAAAAGTTAAGTATACTAATTTATGGAAGACTTTGAACAAAAAAGCTAAACATTAGCACACTGAGTCATACTTGCTTAATACCACTTTCAGCAGTTTCCAATAAACTGAGGAACAACATTTTCTTTATTTAGATGCAAAGTTGTACTAACACATTCAGAATGATTGGTTACATTTGATTGGACATCTTTTAAAATCATAAATGTACAACCAAGCAGAGTTGTCTGCTAATTCAAAAACAGCTCTGGTCTATCTTATCATAAACACTGACTGGTTTTGAAAGCCAAGACTTTTTTTCCCCCTAGTTCTGTTGCAGCTTTTGGACATAAGAGGAAAGCTGTTGTTTCCTTTGCAGAATTGTGTCTCTGCAGACTTCTGAGCAGCCTATTTTCCCAGAAACTGTTGGCTCACCTTGCCTCCTAGCTCCTGAACTCAAGACAATTTCCCCCACTTGAAGTCCAACAACCAATTTGTTTGATGATCTCCTTTACTCCAGCTGCCACAGCAGCATATAATTACTGTAGCTGCAAAATGCTGACATGGTATCCTTCACCATTATAGCTCATGGGGCTGTTGAATGCAGTGAAGGAAAGGTGGCTTGGAATCTTTGCAGCTTTCCCTATTAGCAATTGTGCAAAATGTTTTTTGGACATAGCTAAGTAGATACACAGAAAATAAAAAAGCATGCTAACAGTTTTTCAAATTTGTGTGAAGTGAAATGTGAGGAATATAGTTAAAACATGGACAAATCCCTATCTGATTAAAATTTGACATTCTGGGTGCAGTGCTCAGTCATCATCCACATATTACAACAACTGGTTCTTGTCTGTCTTCCAGGAAGTTTCTATTTATCACTGCAAGATATCCTACTGAACCATAATCAGCTTCTTGAATAAGGATATTGTTATGGATATTATTATGGACTCTGTCTAAAGTCACGTAATTTAACAAGAGGGGAAGGAGAGAGGAAAGGACAAAAAAAATAAAGGAAAAGGAAAAGGAGCAACCAGAGCAAGAAAGCAAACAAATAACAAAGTTCTCTAAAGAATATGGATGTGCAAGGCCCATAGTAACCAGGTAGGTAGGTAGGTAGGTAGGTAGGTAGATAGATAGATAGGTAGAATATAGTAACCAGATAGAACCCGAAATCAACCCAAGGTGAGAAATTGCTTATCAAGCAGAAAACAAACCCTAGCTGAGATGGACTTAAATATCAATGACATCAACAGCTGAAGTAGGAGGAGGACTGCTATAAAAGAGAAGGCTGGACAGGAAGCTGGTTGAAAACACTGTGTATATTCAACATCTGAAGTTGCAGTTTGTTTTTGCCATTTTCTCTCCTTAGCCAGTTGCCTGTTGAGGGTTTGATGAGTATGTGAGAGTGAAAGGTGTGTGCATAAAAGTGCTTAAGTAAAACTTAGTATTTTGTGCTCAGTAAAGCTAGTGGATTAACAAAGGATTCCTTTGTATACTGTCTGTCTATTTATTTATTTATTATTTTGAATTTAGGCACCGCCCATCTCACGAGGAAGTGACTCTTGTCATTTAGTGTGAATTATTCACTCATCCTCAATCCCTTTAGGTTATTATCTCACTGAAATACATGGATATCTAAACTCCCAACCATTGACCACAGATGCATCTCCAGCACTCTCAAGACACCTACTCCTGGCTGTTTATGAGCTGTGGAGAAAGCAAATGGGGAGAGTTGGAAAAGAGTACCTCAGTGGGTAGTTAAAGGAAGACTGGGTGATTCTGAGATACTGTAGAACCATATTTATTTAAATGATTTATAGTCACCCATCTCACAGAAGTAACTCTAGGCTGTGTACAGGTAGTCATCAGTTAACAATGGTAATTGTAACTGGAATTTCCATCGCTAAGTGATGTGGTCATAAAGTGTGACATCACATGACCACATCGCTTAGTGACAGCAATCCTGGCAGTCCCCGTTGCCCTTGTTAACCAAATCCCACTGGTCATTAGGTGAGGACCCAGCCTGATGTAAGCCATTCCCAGCTTGGTCCTTCCCAGCCCAGCCTCGGTAAGGTAAGGGACTGCCTCCTCTTGAATTCCCCCCACCTGCCTATCTCCCTCCCATCTCTGCCTTTTTGGCCACCCACCTACCAGCTGTCCCACCACCCAGCCCTGCCCACCACCCCACATGCTTCTACTGTACCAGCAGGGCCTTCTTTTGCACTGGTGCAGCGGCACCTTTTGTCACACGCCAGCCAGAGTCCCCATTCCCAAAAGCAGCCTGGCACACAAAAGGCAGCCCCGGCTGTGCCAGCGCAAAAGAAGGACTCAGCTAGAAGGTTCGTGTGTAATGTTCCAATTAGAAACGGTTTTATATAATTTTAACTAATTACATTCCATTCTTGTTTTTTAAATACAATTTTTTCCTCAGTGGCTTACCTCTATTTTACAGACCTCTATAAAGGATAAGTGGGATAATCATGCTTGTTGAGAAATATGAGATCTTTAGCAAGAGTTATGAAACGCTGGGGCTATCATTGCCAGCAATAGTGGGGACGTCAAACACACCAAAGATTCTGGGGGTATGTGCGCAAATGTGATAGATGTGTGGAAACACCCTTGCCCCACGGCAGCCATTTTGTTATGTAACGGGGAGGGACTATAGATCCAGATGTGGAAAAAACAGCAATGAGAAAGGAGGGCGGTCGGGAATTTTAATTTGTTCCCCCCAAATTCGACCTACTCACGTATATACTAGACAGCGCGCGCGTACGCACGCGCACATGCTGCGCCAGCGAATCAATATCACGTGAGGTTCGGTTTCTCACCAACTGAAGGAAAACCAGGAGAAAAAAAAAAGAACGGAAAAGAGGGGCTTCGCGATCCTCGCTCGCCTCTCCCCCCCCCCCGGAAGCGCCGCGTGAGGAAAATGTGCCGTTGCTGGCGGTTTGGCACCCTTAGTACCTCGCGGGCGCGCAAAGCGGTGGGGGCATCCTCCCTCTGGCTCCGTGGAGACCGAGAGAGAAGGAAGCCAGAAGAAAAATGGGAGGGCTTCACAGCGCCCGCCTTCTGCGGAGGAGGTGGGGGTAGTTGGTTGTGAAATGTTTAGCCGGCAGCTCACGCTGTTGCTGTTGTTCTCTCCCTATAAATCGTCCAAATGAAATAACCCAGTATATTTACAACGAGAAGGGAGCTTTAATCTAGTTGTATACCGAAGAACCGTTGTAGGGGCCGGAATAAGCTAAAAGGACAAAATGGTCTCTCACCCTACGAGAGAAAGAAAGAGATGGGTGGGTGAAAAGGCTGTGAAAATAGGTTGCTGTTAGCTCTGTGAGCAAAGACCAGCAATGCGACTTTTACCGGGACGCTCTTGCAACCAGATTAGACTTAATTTTGGTCAATTAAATTCAATTTCAAGTGGATAAGGAGCGAGAGAGATTTCCGACCTCATCGCAGTACGGAAATACTGAGACAACTGAAATAAGAATACAAGTGCATTCCTCACATTAATAATACGCTCGTGTACGCATCTACTCGGAAGTAACTCCCACTACGTTAGGTGGCGTTACTCCCAAGGAAATGGATGCAGCTTTAAACTAATCCAAGCATTCATTGAATCATTTACCCCTTTCCCTCTCTTTTGCAGCTTGGCTCCAAGTAAGGGAGTATGTACATGTAAACAAGCTAGCATTATCCTGATTACATTTTAAAGGCTGCCAGATACCCTAAGTATAGCCGCCTATCCTTCACCCCAAGTTATGCCATTCACAATGCCAAAGAAATGAAAGTAAATGTTAAATGTAGAATATTGTTTACAAACCCCTTGCTCATGGGTAACATAGGTGCTAGAACCTCCATTCCAATATATGTTATGTTGTTAGTAAATAAAATCAGAACTTAAAATCAAATGTTTCTGCAAAATGAAGAAGAAAAAAGGCATTCATCACAACGAGACAACATGAAACCCAGAGTATCTGCTAGATGGAGAGGGAGTAAGAAATAATATTCTTCCCCAGTAATAAAACTTTAGCAATAAGATGTTATGGACACAAAGCTTAATTTGGCTTGCTCCTCAGGAATTATTTTGTGGAACCGGAAGCAAAGAACTATATCTATAATCAATCCCCATAGTGATTACTTTTCATTAAATTGTACCTGGATTTCATGAATGCGGGCAAAACCATCCTTCCAGAAAAACTCGATGAGATTGGAGAAAGTCTTGGGTCCTGGCATTTCTTTCAGGCTTTTCACTTTTTGGTGGCTTGGATGCTGGCTAGGTTTGAGAAGTCCCTTGTCTCCCTCTGAAGTTTCCACCATCTCCTCTTCTTTGTCCTCTGTTGCTACAGCTGCATTATTTTGCATCTCCAAGGAAGTGCTGCCTGATAGTTTGGGCAGCTGGTGAAACTTATTGCCAAAAACAACAGTATAAACACAATTTCTTTGAGCCTCAATCACCTGTTTGCAATCCATTTTCAGAACTTTGGTGAGAAGAGACATTTTCTTTAAGCTGGACAAAACTTTTGCTAACCTTCAGAAACTGATTTTCATTTAGACTAAGCTTCTGTGTTTGATTTCTAGTCAAGCACCGCTTCTCCAAACTCTTACTGCCTGAGCATCAGTTTACACAGACCATTATTAAAGACTCCCTCCCCGGAGGCTGGAAAAGGCGGGGTGGTCTGAGATGAGACTTCAAGAGAGAAAGCCGATGATGTATTTTGTTTCATTTAGGTCGGATAAGTGCCATACCTAAATACATTATCTTAAATTGCCAGCTTTGGGGTTTCTACTTTACATTGGTTTGGCAAAAGGGATTGAGTTATTATGTGTCTATTTCTTGGAGTTCACTTGGTTTTCATGTGGCAGTTAATGCTAAAATTTACTTCTAAATTTTAAAGATTGTCAATGTGTAGCAGTGCACTACAGAAAGGGCACAAAAAGGATATCTTCTAGTGATATTCATCAGAATGCTTACTTAAATAATTTCTTTATGTATTACTAAATATGTTGTCTGTATCTTGAAGCTAACATATACCTTGTCCTCTTAAACAGAATTGCTAATTTTTTTTTTACACAACTATTTTGATTTTGTTCATACCATGCTTTAATCTTCTTTATATTATAACATAGTTTGGATGCTTAAAAGATGAAATAAAAAAGACAATTTTATCCTATCAAAATGTGTTTGCATGAGATTCTGAGAAAACCCACTAAGATTTGTCACTCCATTCTCACAGAATTACTTCTGATGTGTCCAAGTATAATTCTATTCTTGGCTCATTATAATAATTTCCTTTAAATGGGCAACTTGATGAAGAGGGAATCCTTTGAAAAAATCTCCCCTTCCTCCAATGGGATCTTTTGCTTGATCTCAATCTCATTTGCTAGTAAAGGGACTCCTTCCATTTGTGGGCTTGGCACTATCCAATCCAAAGATCTGGAAATCTATTTCTAATTTTGTTTACATAGTATGTACAACAAAAAGCCAGTTAAACAGTTTTACAACAAAACACAAACTTAATTCTATAAGAACATGAAAGCCAGTGGTAAAGCCAACCTATCATACTAAAAATAAAACTACAGAGAAGTTATACATGTATCTTAACATCTTTTCTAAAAAAGGGAAACACAGTTATAACTCAGAATTCTAATACATGTGAATGACAGAGAAAGTCCTGCAAGCATTAAGGGTTTTATAACAGACTATCTTACAGATACAATTAAGTTCACAGTGAGACAGGAAGACCTTCTTAAACTGAATTTTAAAGTAACTGGCAATTATTGCAAATCTTTTAACTTTAGATGACATGATTGCAATACGGTGAGCAACTGGCTGCTTAGCTGCTATATTTTGCCCCAGATAATGCCTCAAGTGTAGCCATATATATAACATTGCTCTAATCTATGATGTAAACCAGGGGCATGGGCAATCTCGTCAATTCACTTGGGAAATGTAGCAGTTGGTACACTAACCATAATTGTTATGTGTTAAAGAATGCACTTTCTTTATTGCCACTGCTATCTAGAAATCAAATTATATAGAATCAAGGACACTAAAGAGCTTTTAGGAAGAGTAAACCTGTTTCCAGAATAGTTTAAATCTAAATCTCTAGACTTTTTATTGATCAACAGCATATTTATTTTACTTGGTATTATTATAAGTAAAGTTCATTCTAATTCAAGAAATATATGAGCTCAAATTTCAAGAGTACTCTCCACTTTGATATTTCAAGTAGTTATTAAATCACATAAGGGACAAGTTGGAATGATATGCAACATATAAGCCAAGAGTTCCAGCAAATAACAATCATCTCCCAAGATTACATTCTGTATATGGCACAATAAGAAAGACTGGAATCATTCAGCTACAGTACCACCAAAACGTAACCATTCAAACACAATACCAGGATTGTCAATAGCATTATTAGCTGCAGGAGAACAAATAGGGCTTTACTCTTTTATCTAGTTTCTTGTACGTCCACCACAGTGACTAAAGTAGTTTCAAGCCCATATCCCAGAAAAAAGTCAACTGATATTAGTGTAGACATTTCAAAATGGGAAGTGGAATATTTAACAACCATCTTATGCCACCATCCGCAACCGTTCATGCTACCACATAGAATCAGAAAAACAGCAAATCAGTAAGACTATAGAACCATTGTACCAGCCCGATCATTCATTAAAACCATTACATTTTGAATGTTCTGTAGAAGTTCCATCTTCAAGGCCTTTCTGAAGGGATGGGCAAGGTAGATACAAACTATAGGAGAAAAACACTACTTCAGGTGCCGTCCCTTCACCTCATGAATGTTGGACATAAGCCTTCCCACCTAGGATAATGTGTGTACTGGAGGGGTCAGTACCTTCTGGAGGAGATGGTCCTGAATTTACTTAGTAGCAAACCCTGTAGGGCTTTAAGAATTAGAAACAGCACTTTGAGTTGCACTGTAAAGCCTATACAGCATCTATAACGTATAAAATGTTTATACTGCTGAAGTGAATCTCTATTCTGTACCAACTGCAGCTTCCGAGTGGTTTTCAAAAGTAGCCCCATCTAAAACACATTGCTGTAATTATTTTGGTGGCAATAATTACTGTTGTCAGACCTCAGTTTGTTGAAGCATATTTAGATATGTTGAAGATAATTACCAGAACATAATTAACAATATGCCCATGCTCGTATTAAATTGCTGAAACTCCTTTTACTTCTAATAGATTTGTATTAGAGATAAATCCTAAAGGAATGCTATCTTCTTTCTCTGTAACCTCATAATAGTGTCTCAGTTTAGGTCTCGCCCTTTCAATCACTATTCAGGCAGAACTCTTTGAAATCAACAGGAGTTGTGTGTGAGTAATGATTGTTGGACAGCAGCTTTTGTAATTGTTTTCTCACTCTTTGAACTCAACACTTATCAAAAGTTTTTTTTTTTTTTTTAAGTTTGGCAATTGTTATTACAGGGTTTTATTTTGCTAAGACTGATTACATCCCAAGCTGCTCCCACTAAAGCAAAAGGGAAGGGAAAATTTAATTTGTTTTACTTGATGATGCTAGCTTGAGTCATAGTGACAGTCATTCTTCATGTTTCTCTTTGTGCCTTTTTCTGACAGCTGGGTAACTTTCAATTTAATTACTTCTGTTGTATACATATTTATCAAATACCACCTAGGGAGAATATGTCAAATGAACTCAGCAGTCATGTCAAAATGACATCTTGTCCTTTGACATTTTCTAATTAAGAAAAGAAAGTACACATTTTTAATATGAGATCATGGGAAATATGTGATGAATTTAAATTCTTAAAGCTTATAATGCTGAAATTGGTATAGCATGTATAATGTGTAGTATACTGCATAATTTTCTATTATACTGTAGTGCAAGAAAATAAGTAGTGAGAATGAATCCTAATCCTAGTACAACTATCTAGAGTTTATTTGAACCATGGAGACTAACACTGGTCAAGTATCCTTAGCAGAAGTCTGCATATCGTTAAGTATTTCTACCCTTTTTTCATTCCTAGTCTTTCCCAACAGCGATTTCCAATAACATTTTCAATAGCCCTCAATGTTTTCCTACTTCATACTTTCCCCACTCCCCATCCCCACAGCCTGGCCAAACACTACATAATTTAAGACACCAGAATAAAACCAGGGATAGGGGAAAACTTTCATTTTTATATAGAGTATTTTTATTCAGTGCTTTCAGGTACTTGCACCCTTATGATTTGCTTACTACAAATATAAATATAAAACACATTCACAAATATTCTTAAGAATCTCTGAAACTGTTAAATAAAAATAAAGTCCAAAGTGTTCCCAAGATATAGAATACTGAAATAATTATCTTCAGTTATGAGCAAATTGCTTATTCCATTTCCTCAATTACTATGAAATAATACATTTTAATATTTCTTTTTATGGAAAGGAGATATAATGTATTTTCCTTATATTATTTCCTAAAGCGTTTAAAAAGTGGATGAACGTGTTTATTTGAAGATGCCTTGCTTCGTGAGGTTTGATATTCCATGTAAACTGTATCATCTGCTCCAGACATGGAACTCATTGTGCCATAGTGTCGGGATATCTAGAAAATGAGAATATATAATTTAAATGACATTACACCTTCTTTAAATCTATAAATAACAGACTGTAGCTTTTTTCATGCAAAGGTTCAAATTGCACAGAGTATCTACATTTAAACAGCTGCTAACATGTAGGTACTTTTGTAAACACCTCACATAGATAAAACGTGATTGGAGTTGGGCAGCTAGGGTAAATCATAGGGTTTGAACAAAATATATTCCTAAACAACAAATGATTTCAGTCTTTAGACAACAAAGCTTAAGTTGTGAAAATGGAAAGGCTCCTTCAGTTCAAGAGAGGGCTAGTGATAAACAGAGACTTGGAAGAAGGGGAGGGGATTCTGCAAATTCTTTTTTTGCTTAATATTGTTGTGCCACCTCCCATATTATTTTAGAAGATTTCAGGGGAACATTTGCATAGTCTAGAGTAATTATGAAACAGAATTCAGGATACAAAAAATGAGAGCAAGCTCAATTTTAGGTATTCAGGATTACTACAGATTAGCAGCATTTCTAGCCAGTGCTACCCTCCAAGTATACCTGTTTACATTTTCCTATTAACTAGAAGAGCTTCCATAAATTCCAATGTATAAAATAACTTATTTGGAGGAAGAAACAATAACCTATGCTAAGCTGATGACACTACTCTTGTAGCTGAAAAAGCAAAGGTTCTGCAAGCTCTAGCAATAATCAAAGAGCACAGTGAAAAAATGGGACTAAGAAGACCAAATGACAACAGGTACAACAACCTGCCTTACAAATGACAAAGAAGATGCTGAAGTGGCAGACAGCGTCTGCCTTTTAGGATCAATCATCAACAGTAAAGGAACAAGCAGTCAAGAAATATAGCACTTGGTAGAGCAAGTGGAAAAGATATTCTGATGCTGTGATGTGTCTATACCTACAAAGATCAGAACTGTGCAAGCCATGGTATTCTCTGTGACACTTTATGAAAGCAAAAGTTGGACTTTAAAGAAACAGGATAGAAGAGTATTGTTGCTTTTGAACTATGGTGTTGGAAAAAACTCTTGAGAATACCATGGACAGCCCAGAAAACAAACAAATGGATCATTGAACAAATCAACTTAGAGTTCTCACTTGAGGCTCAAATGACCAGGCTCAAATTATTATACTTTGGACACATTATGCGAAGACCTCTGAAGAAGGCTCTAATGCCAGGAAAGGTAGAAGGAGAGAGAAGAAGATGACAACCACCAGCAAGGTGGATGGATTCAGTTACAGTGGTGATGGGTGCACCATTGGAAATCCTGAAGGGCCATGTTTGGGACAGACTGTCATGGAGATATCTACCTATGTGGTCACTAAGAGTTGACACTGACTTAATGGCACATAATAAAAAATAAAAATAACACATTGTATTAGAGTACCATAGTGCAAGGACTAAAAGTTACTATTGCATTTGGTAATACAATCATCATAAGAATCATAAGAAAATCCCTAATTTCTGTCTCTGGGTAAAGCAGCAGTGGTCATTTGGAAGGCAATGGGGTAAGGTTACATTTGAAAAGTATGCTTTGCTTCTCCTTGTCTGCAGTACTAGCCTCAGTAGTGGACAAGAGCAGAGAGGGTGAGCAGATGGGAAAATAACTTCCCATTTTTCTCTTTCAATTCATCATGGGGATTAATACCATTGTAGCAGACAGGGAAAAGTCCAAGGCTATAAGCCAGCACATTCCCTTGAGTGATAAATGTAGATTTGGAAGAGATGATTGGAACACTACATTTCATTTTCCCTTTATATAAAATTTGATATTTAATTTTTTGATTTACATGTCTGCCCAACTTATAAAAGTGACTCTGCAGTCTTGACATAATCCTAATAACTACTTGCCTGAGATGACTTTGAGCCATATTCTCCTGCAACCACCTCTTCCTCAGCATCCATATCAGAAGCCTGTAAAACTTTTTGGAGGAGCTGCTGCTGCTCTTCTTTGGATGAAAACATAAGCTCTTCCTCTTCCATACCTGCAAGCTTAGTGATTACCTGGAAAACAGGAAGAAACAGTGTTATTCTTCTCAATGGCTCATTTAGAGAAATGTACTATTCTTTTGGTCTCAAGTGCATTGCTTATTAGACAATGTGCCTACATTGAGTCTTGTTTGGGAAAATTTAAAATTTGAGGATTTTAGTGGGAAACTAGCTCATACTGCATATGCTTCTAGGGCATGGCTCATACATCAGTTTTTCTTCAAAGCACATTACACATTTTCATGTTATTTTTTTCTTGATTTTTTTGTCATTTTATTTCTTTGATAAAAAAAGAAGGAAAAAATGTAAGACCTTTCGCAACAGTATCCTCCACCCTTTGTGGCTCATAACCACCAGATTTTATGGATTTATGGACAACCTAAGTGCCTTTTTGTAAGTATATTAAGTGCGAAAGCAAGATCTACCCCTGTGATGGACATTTCCTATTAGCTTATGGGAAGATACATTATCAGTTCTTGCAAACACTGCCATCACATTCTGAAAAAGGTAGAATAGCATATGTTATATCAGGGTGTTACTCTGGGAAAAGCCCCTTTTCCCAATGGATTATTCATTTCCACAACAGCCCTGGCTGTTCTTCTAGTAATCCAGCTTCTCTATTGAAAACTCTGAAGACTCTGAGCCTAACAGGACTCCATTGCCTCTGGAGACCCCATTAAAGATGATTCATTCTTTGCAGCATGGTGTCACAGTTAAGTTGTTGGACCGGCATCAACACTTTTGCTCTCCCTCACCTGGGTGCAGTGACTATTAGACTAGCATAGGGTTCTATCTCTCAGGAAGACTCAGCCTAATCTAGAGATGAGTAGCACACTTATGATAGTGGAGAGGTGATGTCTCAGGTTGTAAGGTTTTCCTGATACTTACACTTCATGTATTATTCTTCATTTATAGAAAGGCATTCTTGCAAGTCTTCCAGGTAACCTTCCTATAGGTAATGCTGCACATATTTACCCTACCTTCTTTTTTGATTCTTTTTTTTATTATTCTTTGGTAGTTCTGGATTAGGAACAATAGTCACTAAGATACAACCATGAATGTATTTATTGTGCCAGTTTTCACTGATCTCTCTGGTCCTGTCCTGTAGTTATCAAGACTCTCCACTCCCACCTTTATTCAAGATATCTGATATCCATCCATCAGTATCACTGCTACAGTTGCTTCCATACTAATGCCTGATCTACAAATATCTCCAATAGTTCTTGCGTCTATCAGCTTCAACAGTGACTATAATTCCAAGTTTATCATTGCCATTACCAGTATCAATACAGGAACTTACTTTCTTGGCCCCATCAACTAAGTGTCAAACATAACTGTGTCCCTGAATCTGCTGCAGGGCCATCTGCAATACATCTTTTGCAAGGAATACATTTTTCAACAACTGAAGAAATACCATTTTCTTTCTTATTCAAGTAGTTGTAAAATGGGCATGGTCCTTCATGCATGGTTAAAATAAGTTTATCTGCAAACTTTCTATCTTCCTGTAGGTTTTTTGTAGTTTAATTTAGTTTAAATTTTTCACATAGTATAGATTTAAATATGCACTTACTAAGGAGCATCATGATTTTAAAACCAGGATGATAGAGTGTTCTAAGAAATTCCAGAAATTCCAGAACTACAACATAAAATGACAAGCTAGTAAGGTATATCTCTTAGTTCTTTTGATACAAGAATCTCTCTTAATACAGCTGAAGAATTTTGGTATATGAATATACCATTTGTCCTCTGGGCAGATACATAATAACAACAACGCTATAGCTGTTTCACTTAAAATAATAAACTTAAAATGGACTGATTTTCAGCCAACACAGAATATAATAAAGGTAATGCAAAGTCGCTTTTTTCCAATTTGCAGTACAGCTTAAACACAAAATATCTAAACATTAGAACTTATTAAAGAATTAAAACTTGTACTTTGTTCCCAATTCTGCAAACTACAAATAATAAAATTACCTTAAAGCTATAGCCTTGATCTACTAGAAACCTTTGACGTTTTGTTGAATATGCCATTTCTTGAGTGTCCTGAGAGACCAAAGAATAAAAAAAGGCATTGTATTCCTCTGCAACCATTCCTGGAGAAAAAAAATAGTAATGGAAGATTAGCCCACATCAAAGCAAGTCAAAGTTTTGTAGGTTTCTCTTGCCTACAAATGTTTCTTACTAGCATCCATAATTAGGTATACTGCTAACAACAATATTTATGCCAAATTTAAAGTTACAGTTTACAAAAAAAAAAACTTGTCTCAGCTGAGAGAATCATGATTTCTCCCAGGAAATTTCTAGTACACATTTTTTCTTTCCTGTTAATGCAAAATCTAGCTGATCTGGCATATAGCCTACAGCAGAATATATTACAGCAATTTTGCCCTCTGAAGGGGAGCAACAGTCTTCTCCATCCTGGGAAGAACTCTCACAACTAATCCCATCCTTTTTCTGGAAAGGTGGACATACTTTCAAACAAAGCATTTTGCAGGCCCCCCCACTCCCTCCAACTTTTTTTTTTTTTTTAAGAAAACGTATGGTGTCTATACGTTTTGTGAGTCCTGGATGAGTCCTGAGTCTTGGATGCCTCCTTGAAAATAAAGATGATATAGAAGACAGCATCTCACTCTTTTAAGTTAAAAGAATATTTTAAATTATAAAAAGTTAGATGGAACAGGAAGCCTACAAGATAGCAAACAAAGTACCTATCTATAACTGGCACCCAGATGCCAAATTGAGGATCCCATTTTTAAAGGATAAAATGTATATACAAATTTATCAAATACAGTTTTCTGGTATCATTATAATGTTCTTAATTTGGAAATGTGTGAATACATTAAATGCATGTTATAAATTCTAGTAAGTTTTTACAACTACCTTTGTTGTAACTAACTGCTGACAGAGACTTAGCTTTGGATCTGGAAGAAGGAATACTGTGCACTAAATCACTTGGGAATTCTTCAGCAAACACTCAGCCAGAAAGCACTTATACGCATTAGTCTTAAAAATACAGCTCCTACTCAAGTCAGATGCTGACTTTATACTTTGGTTGGTCAAGCTGCTAATGGAATATCTCAATCAGTCTGTTTCCTTTATGGTAGTGCGGCAAGAAAGAACACTCCTCCAAGCCCAAAATCCCATTGAAAAATAATACTATTATGGTGTTAGAATTCTAGCAAAGCTGCCTTCAAACTTCAATCAGAACAACCAAAGTCTCTTGAATCTAAGATTGCTAAGCTGTATCTTTAAAAACCTAAAAATATTAAGTGTCATGAGGAATGATTAGGCAGGAAACAGAAAGGGAAAAATGACCCCTTATTGAAGTACTTTTTATAATTACTTTTGAATTTTGTTTTAACCAGCGATCTTGAGCTGACAGTGACAAAGCAAGACAATAGTAAATTGTATGTGCTTAGTCAGGTAAATAATTTATATTACTTTCATGTTCAAGTGTTCCATTAAAATTGCAGAATCTTGCAACACAAGCCTCAATTTACCTTTTTTAGCTCTTAGCACTCGACCCAATCTCTGAGCCTCCTGTCTTCGAGAGCCCCCATGGGATGAAATCTGAATTAGAACATTGGCTTCTGGCAGATCAAAAGATGTGTCACCAACCTGTAATACATAAGCACCCTTTAAGAAACAAATTATATCCAAGTCTTAGTAAGATATATTAGCTTGTGGCCAACAATGAAAAACATAGATATGAAAAAAAAAAGTTAAAAGTAATTTTACAGATTGCTCAAAATGAGCGCTGAACCACTCCAATTCAATTCAATGCCAAGCAGACTAGTAACCATTACCTTGGAGATGAAGATGGTATTGATTTTGGGATTGTGTTTGAAATTCTGCAGTATTTGCATTCTTTCCCCCTGTGCTGTAGGCCCATAAATGTAAGGTCTAAAAGATACAAGATGCATATATATCAAGGATTGAATAGTTATAGTACTTTGTTCCCTGAATATAGGTATGTAAAACAGTCTATTATGAAGTTATTGTGATTAAAAAGATGAAAAAATCATAGCAATATGCTTGCACTGTGAAATTAAGCTACACTTTTATAGAACTACTTGCCTTTTTTTGCAGCATTTTTCTCTTGTTTATTTTTAGTTCACTGGATTGTGTTCTCACTCATTTGGAGACAAATCCATTCTGTCAGACACCCCTCCCTCCACAGAAATAAATCCTGACAGTTGTAAAATGTTATGTGCTTGATGTATGCCTCCTGACTCAACAGATCAGTGGGCTGAATATATCTACTAATCCTACATGAAAGGAGAGAAGCAGCTGTTAAAATAAAAAAGGTATTTTCTTCAGCTGAATCAATGAACTTGTACTTAACAGCTGTGTTCTTCTTTCCCCTTTCCACTTGTGTCTGATCACATCTAAATTGCACTTTTGGATTAAATTATTCTGGTCTCAAATAGTTCACTGGGAGCAACAGTGAAAATTATAACCACTTTCGAATTAACTTTTCTTTTGTGGCAAAGTAAGCAGATGCTGCTAGAGCGCGAGGGAAGCATTCAATCAAAGATATAGCTAAGGGTTTATAGCATCAGAACAATCTAAGGTGTCTGCTAAGCCACATTAAATATTAGAGTTGACAGTTCATATGTCACATTTTCTTAAGTAAAAAAGCAGCTAGTACACTTCAAAATACACATTTTAAAAAAATCAAATTTGTACATCATGTCTAGTAGAATGGACCTCCCCATTCTATCTTTGGAGCACACTCCCTCATTTATAAGTCTTTTAGCTATTATATACCACAACCCAATTTTATTCAATACTAACATTAGTTTAATTATTTAACGCTGACATTTTATGGCTCCCAATAAATAAACAGATTTGTTTGTGAACATTAAACAGGTATTCTGTCCTAAAGTGATAACAAAAGTAGCATGTAAATATATAAATTAAAAAATTAAAACCATGAAATACTAGGTACTATGTTACTATTTTATTTCAGGTTGGTAGCAAGGATATGTGTAGTTAAACACACAGCAGTGGATATGAAATAATGAACTAGAAACCTTCCAAATTTTAAAATCATCTAAAGATAAATGAACACTGAGATATAAAAAGACACCTTTAACAGGTCAGCCTATTCTTGCATTTAGACATAATAATGGACTATACTTATGGAAATGAGCTATGACAAATCTTGGGCTTGAGTAATTGTAAAATTGATATTAATTAATAAAAATAGCTATGAAAGTTTCCATTCTGTAATCACATATGTACCTAGACAAATGAAATGGCTTGTTACAATAAACTATGTTAATATCCTCACTATTGTTCTAATGCAAAAACTAGTTACGGGTAATCAACAGTAAAAGTTCGCTGTATTGTAGCCCACTCATTTGGAGTCTAGTACCATGTTCTTTAGCAATGCCTTCCAGGAATTCTTCTCCATAACCAGCCCAGTGATGCTTGTAACTGAAAATGATCAAGTCTGAATTTAACTTCTATAAACAAAGTTCAACCATCAAGCTACAAACCCCCCTTCACACCACTAATGATAACTTGATAAAAAAGGAAGTCTGGACAGATTGGGAAAGAAGCACCATCAATCTAGAGATAAAGTATAAAATAAAAACCCTCCCTATTTCAGGATCATTTATGCAGGGATAAACTTCCTTGAATAGTTCTTCATATACAGACTGAATCTTGCAACTGAATAAATCAAGACTTGTATTATGAATCAAGGAATGGAAGGGGGTAATATTTTGCTGATTCAACATAGATCATGAAGAAATCACTGCTTTATCCTTAGCTAGTTACAAGCTTTCTTTCAGGCAATAACCAGAAATAACGTCAAGTAAGCAAAATAGTATTAGGAATAGTCTAATATTGTACAACAACCTACAATACAAGTCATTCCAGGACAGTTTCATCTAAATGCAATTTAAAACACTAGATGTTCCATCCAATGTGATATGAATGAACTTTACTCATACACTTGGGATTTATCCCCTTGTTCTCCACTCAGAAATCCTTCCAAATCTGCTTTGAACAGACATGCCCCCCCATGGGGGGAACTGTGCAGGAAATTGCAAGGAGGAAGGACAATTTATTTTGCTAGTAAAGATCTGTTCTCCTGGATAGTAATCATCCGATATAAGAGATTAGCACCATACATTTTATTTATTATTGTACCCTTTAAAACCAGGCTTTTAACTTCAATGGCATTGCTTTAAATATATGAATACTCTAATACTCTTTAGAAAGTAAACAAGAAATGTCTTCGTAAGGAAAACAGAATTTCATGGTGATCTGTTGAAAACATTTAGTCCTTTCCATTATTTCCTCTTGCCTACATTTCTGAGAGATTTGTCAGTCACTAAACAACAGCATTTTGTTTAGCTAAGTATCTACCTGCTGAGCAGTTCTTAATGTCTCACTTTGTTCATTTAAGCATTTATTTATGTGCAACACTGACTTCATTTAACAGAATTCCCTGGGGCATCATTACAGTTTGTCTAGATAGGCTGAAATATAAGCTTGAAAACAAATCACAAACTGAGAACCTGGAATTGATGGTCTCTCTGAAGCTTCCATGGGCCAAGTATATATGCTATAGTATTAATTAAATAATTTAAAATACCCTCATAGGAGGCTTTCAAAACTATTCCAGATTATAGCAGCCTCCTTGGGGCGACTTAGGTTCAAATTTAGCTTGAGTCACTAGCTGACTTTGGGCTGGTGACTCTCTTTCAACATCTTCACATAGACGTTGTGGGAAAATTTGGAGAAGAAAACTGGCAGGGGAAATATATATGCTGTCTTGTGCTACTGGAGGAAAGACAGGAAATAAATCTAACAAGTAACAGCCAAATGCTCGAGCTAAAACAGCAAACCACTATTTGAAATTATTAAATTAAATTAAAAGAAACCAAAAAAGGCAGAAACACATTACTATGTAAAAGAATCATACTGCAGCACTTTTCCTTCAAGCTTATATCTTGAATTTAAACTCTACTTCTAATGCTAGACTTGAGCCATTTCCTTAAATGCTGCTTCTGCCAGCTATCTTGGCATGGATGGTACCTTGCTCTTCTGTTGCATAGGTTTTTCAAACGATAACTAATTAAACTGAATATGTAGCATTGATATTTAGCATGCTGGAAAACACATGGCAAATTATTGCATTAACTATATTTTTCTTGTACATAGGAAACAGATGGCTAACTGTAAATATATAACTTAATGGTTCTCAATAGGAAAGGAATTACATAAGAACAAAGCCAAGAGAATCTTAGAAGCCTTATTCATATTGCAGTGTTTTATTTAATATCCCCATTATCAATTCCAATTTGGATTACATTATCATAAAACAACTTTAAGGACCTTTTCAAAAATTTCCCAATAGCAAAACTATCCTTGTTGCATATACATTGTTCCTTTACTTTACAGGCATGCAAAGATATTACACAATGTATTACAATTTTGAAGAACAGGAAAGCATATCAGATGCCTGGACCCCTTAGATGTGACCTCTGGAGACCTTCCAAAAGTTGCTACAGAACTCTCATTCCTAATGTGACAAAAGGGGAAATTACCTGAGGAATGATGTTGCTTTAAGATAACTTCAACTAAGTTCAATTAAATATAGATTTGTCCTGACAATGCCCAATTTTTGTCCCTTTCTGGAATGCAGTCCTCAATATATCATTCAAAGGCCAAGTACATCCCTCTCCTCACAAAAAAATTGTGCATTTGTCCTAGACTGTACATGTAGGAAAACAAATGTGTGATAACCAGGTGCAACGGCCTACATATAACTTGCATCTTTTATTCCTCCATTGAGGAATTCTACCAGTGAGAGAATTTCATCATTTCTGAAGCAACCTCAAGAAGTAGCTTATTTCTCAAGAATTCTTCCTAACTTAAGAAGTTTTTTTTATCTCCAGCTGATAATTTAGCTCCTGTAATTTCATGCAAATGAATATAAGCAGATTTTAAGGACTTAACATGCAAAGTTACAAACCTGGAAGAAGTTTCTTTGCTTCTGACATTTCTGATATTTATTACAGTAGATACACAAATGTCCATCATTCACAAATACTTACTTGCCCAATCTAACAGCATACTCTTTCAAAGCAAACACATTGTCAGCAAAGACTATGATCTTATCATTCCTTCGTTCATGGAATTTAATCAGGAACTGGCAAGCCCTAAATTTGTTTGGATTCATGGTATAGAGCAATATCCGCTTCTTTGTTTTAATAGCCACATATTCTCTGTAGAATTCAGGAGACATTGGGCACCAAACCTAAAATTATACCCAATAAAGCACAGACTTTAGTAAGAACAGCTCAATAAGCATTTACAGCAGAAATGTGACAAGGATAATGTGACAAAGTCTACAAGATTACACTGTATGATAAAAGGAATAAAATAGTATTTATGCTAGCAGGAAAGATGAGGCAGGAGCAGATATTTGCAGCTTCATTAAAAGAACATTCTGATTATTTAAAAACCCATAAAGGAGAATTATCATCAACTTCCCGATTCTACCCATGGCAGCAACTGACTATCAGGAACCTGTTTCTCCTCCCTGCTGAAGATTCTTCCCTCAGACAGGAAACTCAGAAGAAGCCTCAGTTATGGAGAAAGGAGCTACAACTGGGGAACAAGAAGGGAAGGCTGAAATCATAGAAAATTAGGCAGATCAAGCCAGGATCTCAGTTCAGCCTTAAATCGAAAACAAACTACAAATAGAAATTTGTTTTACTTTCAGTATGAACCAGTTCAGAGTCTTAAACCTCAATTTTAAGTTCTCTGAGAAAAAATATTGCTGCTGAAGAATGTATTTGCAGGAAACACTCTGTTAGCACAGCTAGCACTGAGCAAAACACTCCTTACCTCAGCACACTGGACTTTAGCAATATAGCCACTGTTTTGCAATTCCATCCAATTGGCTTCATAGAGTTTAGGCCCAATCAGGAAATTCAAGTCTACAATTTTATCATCTTCTCGGACAAGAGTGGCTGTCAATCCAAGCTTGCAATGGGCCTGAACAATAGTGAGCACACGCCTGAACATTTTTGCTGAAAGAATCACGTAAGAACCAGTGAGCTCCTGTCTGAAGAGTATTTTAAAAAGATGGTTACAAAGCACCGTGTTAATTTTTCATGGCATAAGTGATATTAAATGCTGAAGCATGTTGAGCCGATTTGAGAATCACACTGGATTGGAATCTTATGTTAAAATTAGATGTGTTTGATCAGTCTGATTGTTTTGTGCCAACAATTTAACAGTATTCCTCACCCAACTCATCTTACAAATTAAACCTTGAGATTAAATAGTATCAGTTCGGGCAAATCATAAAGTTGGCTGAGCTAACATATAAATCCAAATGCCGTGCACTAGACCATACTGGGATTTTTTGATTCTCCACCAAGGGTAAAAACTGCAGCAATTATCATTAAGCTGTAAGTACAATAAAAGGGATATTTTTGATGCCTTAAAAAATGATAATTACAACATGCACACTAACATTATTGTTCCATTTTATATATATGTTAGATTGCTTATAAACATATACTACTTTTTAAAAAGCATTATTGTCAACATATTTCAGAATAATCGGGGCTCCTATAATTCAGTAATGCAGGGTTTAAACCTGGGCTGAGGCAAAGGGAATTGCCATTGATATTGGCTTTACCAGGTATGGTATGCACTTCATCAAGGATCATCAAACCCCATTCTTGGCTCTTCAACCATTCCATCACTCTTTCTGCCTCCCAGGACCTCTTTGTTGTGTGTCCCAACATGGAATAAGTGCTGATAGCTATAGAACAGCCAATTGGCTTGTCTTTGGCATCGGAAGTAAATCGGCAGATTTGGCTATCATCGATGGTAGACCACATCTTGAACTGGGCCTTCCACTGCTCCACTGAGACAGCAGAATTACCCAGTACTAGGCACCGCTTATGGACAGTGCAAGCAGCTGTTACACCTACAAGTGACTTGCCAGCACCTGAAGTCAATGAAACAAGAAATTGTCAGAACTTTACATGGAATGCACTGTTATCCACAGAATAAAGAGTATAATATTGAGCCAGATGTGTCCCACTTAAGAGTTTTGAAAGCTCTAACAAATTGGTCCCTATCAAAGAAAGGCACCAAACATGGTCTGAAAGCAAATCATGCCACTCTATTGCTTCAACTAAGTAATTAAAAGTTGTATAAACTTTACAGAAGTCAGATGGGAATTCTGTATGAGGTGCTCAGATATCTTGAGATGAGAAGTAGTATGCAAAAGAAAGAAATACATGATAACAAATATGCATATCCCATAAAATAAATACTATTTTTACCAATATTATCTCAGAATTTAATCTCAATCAGAGAATTTTAAAGAACATTCAACTTCAACAGAGTCAGCTCACCACAGGGCAAGACGATAACACCAGATCTAGCACGGCCATTCCCAAACATTTTTCTCAAACTCTTCTCCTGGTATGGTCGTAGAACAGCTGTGGGTTTCAAGTCTATGTTAATATCTGGATTCACAGAATCATTTCGGAAATCATATTCAGCAAGCAAAGGGTACTCCAGCTGTATGCAACGCTTTTGAAGCTCTTCAATCATTTCCTAGAAATGGAGACAAAAAGGTAGGGCGAAGGGTCTTTTAAAGTTCTTCTATTCGCTTAAGGCTATAGAAAGTGCTAAAATTATCCCATAAACTTTGGGAGAAGGATGTCAGGTTGTGCTTGCCCTCTCTCTCTAAAACCCACACTGGAGTACTGGATCATCAGTCACAAATCCAGAAACATTTCCCATACTTTAAAGAAGTTTTATGAGTCAGAAAAACAATGCTTTACCAAATCTTTAAGCAAATATATTTGTTTAGTATTCTAGCAATATTGATATAAAAAACTTCACATCCTCTTATTTTGAAGTTCTTAACTTGATTGAATTGCCTCACTATTATCATGTTACTGCCACACCTCATTATTATGTTTAGTGCTTATACATATAACAGATGTTCCTAGAATGGCTAAGTGAGAAGAAACACTTTATTCTTATGAACTCGTATCTTAAGGACATAGGGGTGACTTGATCCAATACAAGGCTGTATCTGTTGAAGTCATATAGAAATATCCAGAATTACTCTCAACTTCCTGGTAGAGCAGGCAGCCATGAACTATCTGTGATGTTCTGATGGAAGCAGATCAGAAAGGAGACCAGTAGCACTACAGTAGTTTTATAACCATCACAGAAAAAGCCAAGGATTTCCTCCTTTAACTTCCTATTAAAATTACATACAAGTTGTGCATATAACAGCCATACTGTCTTTTGTTTTGTTTT